CTGAAATTCAAATCCTTAAAGTCTTAATTCTTAAAATCTTAAATTTGACATCTTAATCAATCTAAATCTCTCACCAAAAAAATCCAAAATCTAAAATCTAAAGCCTTCGAAATCTGATAATGGATGGAAATGGCTGGGCAATGGCCTGGCTGTTATAACCTTCAAAAACCTTAAATCTTCGAATCTTAGAACCTTAATTCTTAAACCATTGAAACCTTAAATTCCGAAAGTCTTCAAATCTGAGACCCTTAGAATCTCAAAGTTTTTAGAATTTTGAAATCTTAACATCTACTCATCGGACTTACAGGAAAGGGAAGTGACAGAAACCCTCATGTCTTTGAATCTTCAGATGTTAAAATCTTAAAATATGAAATTCCTAAATTCTCAAAATCTGAAAATCTCAGAATCTTAAAAGCTTCAAAAACTTAAATTCTTTAAATCTCGAACTATTGCAGTCTGAAAATCTTAAATTCATAAACAAGTAAAATATAATAAAATTCCTTCAATACGGGCTATTTTATTCTAAATTCCTTAAACTCTTAATCTTCAAATTTTGAAGTCTTGACATCTTAAGATCTTAAAATCTTAAATTCCGAAAGTCGCCAAATCTGAAAATCTCACAAAAAATAAAATCTTAAAGCCTTCGAAATCTGATAATGGATGGAAAATGGCTGGGCAATGGCCTGGCTGTTATAACCTTCAAACACCTTAAATCTTTGAATCTTAAAACCTTAATTCTTAAACCATTGAAGCCTTAAATTCCAAAAGTCTTCAAATCTGAGACCCTTAGAATCTCAAAGTGTTTTTTTTAAATCTTAACATCTACTCATCGGACTTACCGGAAAGGGAAGTGACAGAACGGGCAAGGCAAGGTGCCCGGTGGCCGGCTGTGTCGCGTCAGCGTGTAAATCCGGCCACCGGACGTGATCGGGCCGCAGGCCAAAGCCCGTTAGGGCTTACCTTCAGGTATAAGGCCGCGCGCCCCATGCCGCCGACCATGCGCAGAACATGCGCCGACCATGCTCGGACCATGCGCATACGTTTTGCGCTGGGCCCACCCTTATAAGGGGCGAAGGATTTGCGGATTGGCTTAGGCGATTTCCGAGGATTTTTGTAGCATCTCCCCGCAGCGCCCAAAAACGAGTCCAAAAACGAGCATTTTTAGGGGGTGCCTCACCCCCAGCATTGCAAGCATCATCCCGGATGATGCGGATGATGTTATGCATGCTGGCGATGCGGGTGATGTTGTCCCCTAAGTCGGGCCAATTTTGCCGAAAACGTGCAACCTGAAAATCTTAAAATCTAAAGTGGATGGAAAATGGATGGAAAATGGCCTGGATTGAAATCTCAAAATCCTAAAGTCTTAGATTCTTAAAATCTTAAATGAAAATCTGACAATCAATCTTAGAATCTCAAGATCTTAAAATCTTAGAACTTAGAATCTTAAAATCTGAAAATTGTCTGAAAATATAAAAACTTCCTCAAGTCTTCGAATCTTGAAACCTTAAAAACCTTATGTCTTAGAATCTTGAGATCTGAAACTCTTAAAATATGAAATTCCTTAAGTCTTACAATCTTAAAATCTCAGAATCTTGAAAAGCTTTAAAAACTTAAATTCTTTAAGCCTCGAACAATTGAAATCTGAAAACCTTAAATTATTAAAATATTACCTTCCTTCAATCCCGGCTATATTTTAACTTCCTTAAACTCTTAATCTTGAATTTTGAAATCTTGAAACCTTAAGATCTTAAAATTACAACCTTAGAAGATAGAATCTTGCAACCTGAAAATATAAACATCCTCAAGTCTTCGAATCTTGACTTCTTAAAACCCTCATGTCGTTGAATCTTCAGATGTTAAAATCTTAAAATATGAAATTCCGAAATTCTCAAAATCTTAAAATCTCAGAATCTTAAAAGCTTCAAAAACTTAAGTTCTTTAAATCTCGAACTATTGCAATCTGAAAATCTTAAATTCATAAACAAGTAAAATATAATAAAATTCCTTCAATCCGGGCTATATTCTAAATTCCTTAAACTCTTAATCTTGAAATTTTGAAGTCTTGACATCTTAAGATCTTAAAATCTTAAATTCCGAAAGTCGCCAAATCTGAAAATCTCACCAAAAATAAAATCTTAAAGCCTTCGAAATCTGATAATGGATGGAAAATGGCTGGGCAATGGCCTGGCTGTTATAACCTTCAAAAACCTTAAATCTTCGAATCTTAGAACCTTAATTCTTAAACCATTGAAACCTTCAATTCCAAAAGTCTTCAAATCTGAGACCCTTAGAATCTCAAAGTTTTTAGAATTTGAAATCTTAACATCTACTCATCGGACTTACAGGAAAGGGAAGTGACAGAAACCCTCATGTCTTTGAATCTTCAGATGTTAAAATCTTAAAAATTGAAATTCCTAAATTCCCAAACTCTTAAAATCTCAGAATCTTAAAAGCTTCAAAAACTTAAGTTCTTTAAATCTCGAACTATTGCAATCTGAAAATCTTAAATTCATAAACAAGTAAAATATAATAAAATTCCTTCAATCCGGGCTATATTCTAAATTCCTTAAACTCTTAATCTTGAAATTTTGAAGTCTTGACATCTTAAGATCTTAAAATCTTACATTCCGAAAGTCGCCAATCTGAAAATCTCACCAAAAATAAATCTTAAAGCCTTCGAAATCTGATAATGGATGGAAAATGGCTGGGCAATGGCCTGGCTGTTATAACCTTCAAACACCTTAAGTCTTTGAATCTTAAAACCTTAATTCTTAAACCATTGAAGCCTTAAATTCCAAAAGTCTTCAAATCTGAGACCCTTAGAATCTCAAAGTGTTTAGAATTTTTAAATCTTGTTTTAAAATCTTAACATCTACTCATCGGACTTACCGGAAAGGGAAGTGACAGAACAGAACGGGCGGGGCAAGGTGCCCGGTGGCCGGCTGTGTCGCGTCAGCGTGTAAATAAACTGATTGATTCCCAAACGTGATCTACAAAGTTGGTCTGGGCGGATGGCGCCGAAAAAGCCTGGACGCCGAACCTTTCCCGACAGAAACAACATGATGTGCACAGGTCTTCCAAGCCCAGCTTCCATTGGAGGGGAATCTATTTGTCAGCCCGGGTGTTGGATTTACACCGTTTAGGGCATGTTGCGGGATCTTGGCTTGGCGTGAGCGACAAGGAAAAGACTGGGAAGCACGGTCAAAGCAGTGAGTTGCGCGACCCAAAGAAGCTTCCTCTTGGCCTGATGACTTTTTGGATTCCATGTTGCCATGCGGCATTGCAAGAATACCCTAAAGTTTTACTAAAGGCCTGTCATCTCCTCATGCCTACCACAAACAGGCCAGTTGACCCCTAGCAACGAAAACAACCTTTTGCAGCTCAATTTGGAATACTTTCCACAAGACCTACAGGGCTCTTTTCCGGATCCAAATTTCGAACTGGTGCAAACTGGGCGCACACAAATGGGCGCCTCAAGAGGAGATTCCTGCGCAACATGAAATGCCTAAAACGGTCCCCCAGACGAAGATTCCTCTACAAAATGCCCCCGAAAATCACAAAACAAGGAAACCTCTTTCTGCCGATAGCCCCGAACAAGAAACCAACAAAGGGCAAACACTTGCCGTGCCTACCCTTCCTCCCACTAACATGGGCACCTGTGGGAGGGCACCTGAAAGATCAGTTTCCTCTTGCAAAAACCGCCTGTCAGGTCTCATGGCAACGCGGGAGAGAGGATATTCCAGGTCTGGAAGGCGGAACTGGTGGCGAAAAGGGAGGCGGGCTGCGTGCACATCATCAAGATCCTCCGGGTCTACTAGCAGGAGCGGTCTGTCCTGTTGAAGCAGAACAGAAGGCGCCGGTAGCCAGGTCAGAATTGGCGGCGTTGAGGACGTGGAGGAGATGGTTGATCCGGGTTGGTGAGCTTCGCATTCAGCCCCCGGCCGATCAGCAGTCTGCGCAGGTGGAGGATTCTGGATGGTGTTGAGAAGTTCGGGAAATGCTGCAGGCAGAAGGAGAGTCTGCTCACCATGGAGGTGGAATGGCAGCGAAGGACACCACCAAGGTCAAGGCTATGGATGGTGGGAAGGTGAAGGAGCCGGTTAAGAAAGAGAAGCCCAAGGACTCGGGTTCCTATGACAAGGACAACTCGGCTCCATGTCGGTACTTCCTCACGGTGGTGGCTGCAAGAAAGGAGGAGCGTGCGGCTTTGCTCACCCTACGAGTAGTCGAACTTTTGAGATGGTCGCGCACTCAATCCCCACGATGTGGGGAGGGGAGCCTGTGCGTGGCATGAACCGTTGATGGTAGCCTTTTCCAATCAAGGATTTGAGATAGGAGAAAACGGGGCTCGCGCTTGAAACGAGGTAAGAACCCCTGTAACAATGGGTTGTCACCCCAAAAAGTGGACTTGGGAGAGCCCATGGCTCTCACATCCTTAAGCATCATAGCACAACCTTGGCTGCTTTCTCCGCGCGTGTCAAATGGATTTGTGTATTCCCATCGCCCCAGCCTCAGCCTCTCCCCAACAAAAACAACATGTTTGATTCCGGCCCACTTTTGATAAACACGTACAATGTGATGTTCAAACGCGACCTCAGTTTAACCCCGAACACGCGGTTCCGCCGTTTACTGCAAAATGGTTTCCGCTTCCCCCAAACCACGCTGATGGCAAAAGCATAGACGCGCAAATCGCAAAGAGTCTCGCGTCAACTGACCCTTTGTGATCACTATATATTAGACCGGGCTGTTCAACATGAAGGATTGGCCAATCCTAGTACCAATCCTTGGGAAACCACCACAAACAAGCCCCCGCTCGTAACACGAGGGAAGGTTCATCGGGTTGGGACCCTTTGCCTGGAGCCTCGCAACCCTCGCCCCAAAACAGTTCGGAGCTTTTGCCCCTTTCAGAAGTGCCCCTTTTCAGTGGAAGAACAAAAAGACATGGGTCTTTTTGTTGAGGCCCCTTTCCAGGTTGCTAAAAGTGTAGACACACCCCAGGCCTCGGCTTCCGCAATCCTCGCCTCGGATAAGGGGCAACCAAGCCCTGACGCCTTCAAAGGGAAACCAAAGAGAGGTTTTTGACGAATCGAGGTTACACATATTTAAGCAAAGGATGGGCCCAACCCTGTAAAGTAGGTAACCAAGGGGAGCCATCCTTTACCGACAAAAAGGGAAATGGTTGGTTATATACTACACTGCCAAAAGTGAAGGAACCCAGAATCCATTAAACTTGCTTAATAGGGGAGGGCAAGCCAGTTTAGAGGGAGTTCGTCATTTGTGAGGGAGCCCCCCAATAGTCCTCCAGTTTAATGAGTCGGGGGTCAACATTGAAAGGGGGCGGTGTCCGAAAATTGGGGCCTTTTAAACGGCAGCTCAAAAAAAACCGGGGGAGCAAACCTGCGGCGGGCAAGCTGATGGGGGGGAGGCTCCAAGCCAAACGCGTGCAAATGCGAGGGCTGAGGGTGTCTGCGAGGAGGTTGTAGTCCCCTGTAGTAGTTGATCCTTGAACTCGAGCTGCTCGGCCGGCCAGCGAGGGCTGGAATGAGTTGGACTGGGCATGACGGGCTCCGGAGCTAGGGGCTGGGGCCGGGGAGCAAGATCGGCTGGTAACTCGTCGGGCAAAGCTGGCTGAGTAAGCTTGCTCGGCTATAGAACCAAACGGCTGGAAGCAACAGGGATACTGGGATACAAACGTTCATGCCGGCGCAGCTGCGTGGGGAACCGTCAAAATGGGCAGTTTTTTTGTTATGGACTAACAAGGGACTCGACTTAGTGTCCTAGCGACGAGCCTTCGGAAAGCAAACGCGGGACGGAAGCTTTAGAGCTTCAGGTACTGGGGAAGGATTTGGTTTCCGCCCGGCCCCACATTCCTTTTGCCAAGCTGCAAGGATTTCCTCGGCGTCCTGCAGCCGTCTGTCAAGGCTGTCGGGGCGGGAGCCCCGAGAGGAGCCGGAGCTGACGCTCCCAGGGCTCCCGTCCCGACGCCCTCCCCGCTGGTAGCGGCGTCCTCTTTCCATGTTCGGGTTGCCAATCTTCTGAATCCGCAACCCGCGCTGCAAAGTGTGATTTGAAACCGTATGCTGGAGCGTTGAACACCCATGCAACCCATAGTCCGTAATCCGCACAGCGCAATCCAATCCGTATGCTGCATAATCTGCCATCCGCTAATCATTGCGGATTATGCTTTGAACCTCTTGAGCCAGCTCAAAGCGTTGAAAATGGGTGGTTAAAAGCTGGTTGGCCCCATTCGTAGTTTGGGACCCGTGCCGGTTTCATGTTGGCCGCCTTTTTACGGAGATCCGGAAACTATGAAACATTGATTTTGACAGGACTTTTGAAGATTAGAATAAAACCGTCGACGGGGTCCTCTTAACCAAGGCGCCTTCATGAATGGGTGCTTTGTGGTTTTTTGGGCGTGTGACATCTCGGTGAATTTGAGCGACGTCTCAAAGGGGGTTACAGCATTACACGAAATTTGGATATACATGTATATATGTAATATAATATACACTATAGTGGTTGTAAAGTTTCATTTTCCCTGGGGATGTGGGTTGGGGCTAGTGGAACCATCTTAGATAATTGGGACGGTGACCAGCTGGGGCCATTCAAGATAGCAAGGGCCACAGCTCTGCATCCTTATTGAAGTTCCAGCTGAAATGCCAACTCCTTTTGGGGACTTGCTCGGTTCTCAGGCAACCCTTTGGATTTTAGATGTGTCTCGGGTTCAGTAGGATTACTGGCACGTACTGGCACATCCCACAAGTTTGGCAGTGAAGAGCGAACCACTAACTTTGGTCATGGTTTTCCACTGCCTCTAAGAAAGCAGCACGAATGAGAGCACTACTTGTACATGCGCTGAGTTCCTGCAGAATTCCCAGAAGCTGGATGCCCACACAAAACGGACCCCAAAACTGCCAGGCAGCCGGTGGAAAAAACTTGCAAGCAACTGCGCTTGCCCTTTGTGAACTACTTACACGAAAGTGTGCCCGGAACACTCATGCTAGTTGCTCCAAAAACGACAATTTCCTGTCAATGTTTCGCGGTTTTCTGGAAAAACGAATTTCTGGGCATCTGGAGGGCAGCGACGTTGCCGTTGATTAATTCTGGACTAGAATCTGAGCATACTTTTGTGTACCCCAGGGTCTCAGCAATGTTTAAACATGTTTAAACATTCCCTGGACTTACTAAAGTCCTTGAGAGGGACCTATTTCCGGGGTGATTTTGTGCCTCCAAAGATGGCCACCATTCCCGTGTGTAAAATCTAATGAGGGTGTGAGTTTCAACAGGGGAGCCTTTGGTGGACGTCATCTAGGTGGGGATTGATGTCCACCAACCCTTTGAGTGGGTGTTCCCACTGCCCTTTGTGCCGTAAACACTCGCAACTCCGGGAGAAAAAAAAAGCACTTGGAACTTTGCTCGGGTTTGCATGGTTTTCTCTCGCTCGTGTCGAAGCAACGGCGGCCAAGACCATTAGCAAAACAGAAAGCAAAAACGCTGTGAACGGGATATAGGACTTAAAATGCCCTGTCGACTGTCTCAAAATGTCCAACAAATCAGCGGTTGTCAAACGTACGTCCCTCCCTATTTCACGTTGCCTTTTTCCAGGCAGTCCCCAACACCGGGTCCCGGGTCAACTTGTGATATTGAAATATGGAAGCGTGTATGTGGTGTGTGTGTGTGTGTAATGTGTGTTGCGTGTTGTGCGTTGTGTGTTGTACATGCGCGCCATGCCGAAGGAATCCACACAAGACGGACAAGGTTCACTCAAATCGGGGGAAGGCCGCTGCAAAAGCAAATAGCCCAATACAGACACGGCCAAACCAAGAAGTGTGTTCACATTCGGAGCAAGCCAGAAAGGAAACACTGCACAAGCTATTCGGTTAAAAGGTGACAACAAGTAAAAACATATCAGTGAGATATCGGTGCCGACACAACCGCGCTCAGGCAGTTGTCGGCGTCCAGAATCAGATACGTAACGCCATCCGAGCAACTCGATCGCCAGTAGAGGTTGGCAGTTATCCTATTTCGCGACTACAGTCGAAATGTCTGATCATTTCAGATCAGTTACTTAACCTAACTACAGCCTAATTGCACCAAGATTGGGGGAGTGTGGTAGTGGAAGTTTGTGTGATTTTGCTGAGGCTTGATATCTTGAGCAAGTTGTACACTTGATTCGCTGAAGAGTGCTTGCAACTGCCAGTTCTGAATCACCCAACGGGGTCCTCTACGCTATGGATTGTTGTAACGTGCTGCTGTTTGCTGCTGCTCATTCAAGCCAGAGTAGCTGCAATGCTCTTAGCATGTTCATTTTCACTCCTGTGTGGCATTAGAATAGTATCACAAAACGCTGGTTGTTTCTTCTAGTGTGCCTGCCCCTTAAAGGTGTAAAACACAAAAAGTGTCAAACATGGTAGAATTCAAAGTAGAATTAAGGTTGGCCAAGTAGGATTTTAACTAGGACTTAAATGGAATCGAATGAAGAAAGCAACTCCTTGTTTGTTCTAATTTGGAAGCCCCTGTACAGGAGTGAGAACAAGTAAAAACCCATGGACAATGCAAATTCCATCCTTTTTGTCCGGGCATTTTGCAAGGGGCTGGCCGGGGTTTTGGGGGAGGAGAGACATTTTCCCTCTCCCAACTACCCGCAACCCCTAAGCCAGCTCCCCTCTATGTACAACCTGGCGCCCCGTATGGCCGTTTTGTTTCGTGTTTTTTCAACAAAAAATGAGGGATGACCATTGGCGAAAACCACCAAAAATATGATATGTCAGGGGCCGCCACTGAATTCAGGCTGCCATCACGCACAGCCAGTCCCACCAGGCCTGGCAAGAATTCGATTTAGTTGGGGCGTCCCCGGCGAGCTGGGGCGCAGAGAATTGCAGGGCGCTGTTGCGACGCCGGAACTTGCCGGAACTTGCCGGGGGTGTTTCGACAGTACTTATGTAGTTGTGCAACCAGGGCAAGGCTCCTGCTTGCTGCTGTGAACAATTGCGCAAGGTTGTTTGGAGAGAGTTCAAAAGGTGAGACTCCGCCCACTGTCGCACTTAAGAGCATCAAGCTCCGTGTTTTCCATTCCATTCTATCCAGGCTGAGCCAACGTGCAAAGTCCCCAGCGAGGCGCGACAACTTCTGGGTGAGAAAGTCTGCGCCCCGCGGCGCTAGACTGCCGATTAAAGGTGCGCATTCTCTGGATTTGGGTGTGTCTTGAGAAACCACAATAGCAACAACTTGCTGTGTTCCACTCGGATTGGCTGGTTCACTCATGATGTTTGATATTCAATATGTCAGGCTGCATGACATGTTTTGTTGGTACGTGTTATATAGATGAGTCGACCTATCAGTCATGACTCATGACCAATTTTATGCACCGGTGACATGAACGCCAACTCTGCGCATGTCAAGTCCATGCATTCAAACGGCGGCTAGCCCCATGAGTCCGCATTGTTGGCTACCAAAATGAATGATTGTAAAGCCTTCACATGTCAAGTCCATGCATTCACATGTCATTACAATTTCGCATGTGCAGTCTGTTACGGTCAGGTTGATTTCACCATGATGTTCCGGTGTATTCACATGACGTACTGACATTGTATCACAACCATGCATGTACCAATGCCATCTCATTGAGCTGATGCTTCATGTTTTTGGTACATGATATTCTGTTGAGTTGGCGCAAGAGCCAAAAGTATGGCCCAGTATGGCCTTCAAATGCTAAATGCATAGTCTTGACACTGAATCTCATTGGGCAATATCACACCCTGCAATTATTTTCTGTTATCTTGACATGTTGTTGTGTTGATGTGTTTTTTAGCATTTATGTTGGCCGATTTCTTGCACACAGGGCAGTCGCTACAATTTGGACACATAGACTTGACATGTCTGACATTTTGAGGCTTGCGCCATCATCAAACCACTGACATGGGGCATAATGGATCATGACTGCTCCCAAACAGTGATCAAATTCTGATGTTAAGACTATGAGAAAACATGTGTCAATATTTTTTCAGGTGTCATCTGCGTGGTCAAATAGCTGTTTCGAGACCCACCCCCGGTGTCAACTCTATGTAAACTACTATATTAGAATTGGAACAAGATGGTTCCAGGAATACCCTGAGAGCTGGTTCGCCTTGTAGACAATCACGCGAGGGGTTCTGAGAGGCACCGCTTAAACGCCATGCCCTGAAGCACTATTCCCTTTGGACATGGTTGTAATCATACACAGGAGCGCAATCAGAAAACATGATTTCAACATTCATATTCAACCTAACTTGAATGCCTAAAGCAACACATAGCAGAATGCCGTGAGCCATCACTTCTGTAGCTAGTTTGAGGCAGATTAGCGAACTATTCTGGGAATTCCCTGACACACCAGTCCCCTTGAACGAGCTGGAACAGATTAGCGGAATTAGAATGTATAGCAAAACACACATGGGGATGCTGCAAGGAAGTACCGCAGTTGGAACAATAGGAACCACCAGAATATCTGGAGCATAAACAAGTACACGGGCATCAACCCAACTCCTATCGCTTGTGGGAATTGGGATTGAAACATGTCGAGCAATTGGTGCCTGAGGAGGTGTTTGGGGTCATTGTTCTTTCGTAGTCATCCCAGTATCCTTTCAAAGGAAGTGAGGCGTGGTGGGAATTGGAAAATTACCTCTTTGACAATGTTCTAGTTATTCTAAAAAAACACCGGTTCAAAAGAGAGGTGCCACAGGGAAGTCCGGAATAGTTTTGCTCCACGACATTGACAATTCTCCCAATTCGACATGTCCGAGCTGGTTCGTGCATCATGGGTCTCCCGTAATCGGCTTATTATAAACATAATGTTTCTTCTTGCTTCTACCTTTGTTCAACGGCAATGCTGATTCAAGGCATTCCTGAAATCATGATGTCCCGCTAGCTCTAATGATGCAACACATGTTCAAGGGGAGTGGTGCCTCGCAGGATGGGACTCCCTCCTGTAATGTGTGAATTGTCAGTCTTCCAATATTCAATTTGCTCTAATTGTTTGAATGGGAAATAGAACCTCAGGGAAGTCCAGAAACCAT